ATTGGTGAGTGGAGCTATCAAATGAAAGGAGGGAAATACCATGTGCATGTTAAAAGATTAAGTTTAGAGCAGCTTGTAAGTACAAACTCCAGCTCTTAAAAACAACAACAACCCTGTCTACTACAACGATAAGCACATACTGTACCATAGATCTTGATTTGTTGTACATAACACCACCAATAACTAGGGTGCAACAAAAGAGAAAGCCCTGTTCTGATTTCCTGCACAGTGAACAACAAACTGGCTGGACCTCAAGTAGGCTCTTTGTTTATCTTAAAACTTACCAAGGACAGTTGGTATAGTGAATACCATACAGACAGACGGTGAAGATCCTACATGATGGGTATTTAAATGGCACCACATCAAAGTGGTGGTTATGATTATTGGAAGCAGCATTGTGCACTAGCTGCAGTCTCCAGGCCAGGTTCATAGACCTTATTACTGTGCTCTGTATGGGAGGCTTGCTCATATATATGCCATGCACACAGATGGGTTTGTACTGGTTCAGTCTTTGTGGCTGATTGCATTCACATTACTGTTTCTGCATTCACTCCATACATGAATGTCACAAAGGCATGGGAGGATCTCAGCACATCAAAACTGAGCCTGTAATGAATTAAGTAAATATTTAATTACCATTCCCAAACAGTTGATGATTTCATGCATTTTCTTCTTCCACACACACACACTTACATGCCCCAGGGACTCATAAATGCTACAATAAACAGCATGTACACTAACCCAGAGATTTTAAACATAAATGCAACAGGAGATCAGAAAGTAAAACAGAAGAATAATCCACCCTAAGTAATACAATTTTCACTCAGATCTAGTAATTAAGTTCCCATGCTGTTCAGATGCATTGGTAACAAACATTGTTTCCATTTCTCTTATGCAGCTCTTACTACTTACAGTTTCAATCAGGGCAAGTGCTGAAATTCCCATAATTAAGCAATACACTGACATGGTATGTAATTTTTCAAACGGGAGGGGAAGAGAACTAGGGTTCAGGTTCAAGCTTCTGGGCTGAGAATAAGGATGGGGAGGAAATTTGGTTCAGTTTGCAGTTGAAAGCAAACCTACCTAGTTCACACTTCTTGAAATATTACACAATTGGAAAGAAAGTCATCCTTTAATGTTGCATTTCTCTGAATTTTGCAATGCAGTTCTCCAGTCATGTAATGTGTACATATATGCCCATAGGGTCAACTGTGCTTATAAATGCATACATTACTTAAAATAGCATACAAAATGCAGTATATTAGGGGAAATTACTTTGCAAAAATGTGTACAGTGGGCAAAATTACATACAGAAATGTACATATTAGGAAAAAACTGTACTAAGATGCTGACAAAGTTTCATGAGGACTTCTAAAAGAGATTCACAAGCAAATCTGGAGAGTTGAATTTAAGACTGGAAAAATGAGAAACTGAAAGAAACCAAAATAAAGAGATTCTGCTATCCCCAGCTAGGAACACTGCCACCTACTGGCAGTCAAACCTGTTGCCCTAACACTGCTGCCGCCATTGCTGCTGACCAACACTACAGAATCCACCTATTGCCTCTAAACCAGGCATGGCCAAACTTGGCCCTCCAGATGTTTTGGGACTACAACTCCCATCATTCCTAGCTAACAGGACCAGTGTTCAGGGATGATGGGAATTGTAATCCCAAAACATCTGCAGGGCCAAGTTTGGCTATGCCTGCTCTAAACGTTGGTTACTGTCCCCTGCAGTCCATTATAGGATTTACGGATTTTCCATACAGTTATAACTGTAAGTAGTGCCTGGCTAATCACTGATATGTCTCAGGTCATTCTGCTATGTTCAGAACAAAACAGCATGGAGGCCATAATTAAAAATGACTGTGTAGATTGATGGGCCAGGACTGAAAAAGGTCCAGCTCACGTTGATATGGATTAATGCACCTCTTATCCAAAGATGTGTGAGTAGATGATAGTGCTAGTATTTGGCAGGAACATAGGAAGATACCTTCTATCAGGTCACACTATTTGTCCACCTAGCACAGTATAGGCTATTCTGATGGGTAGGGTCAAAGGCAGAGACACCTTTCCCGCAATGTGCATGGTCTCATGCTTCTAACTAAAGCCCTAAACGGCCTCGGTCCTGTATACCTGAAGGTATACGCCCATCATTCAGCCCAGGCACTGAGATCCAGCGCTGAGGGCCTTCTGGCGGTTCCCTCATTGTGAGAAGTGAGGTTACAGGGAACCAGACAGAGGGCCTTCTCGGTAGTGGCACCCACCCTGTGGAACACCCTCCCTTCAGATGTGAAGGAAATAAGCAGTTATTCTATCTTTAAAAGACATCTGAAGGCAGCCCTGTTTAGGGAAGTTTTTAATATTTAATGCTGCACTGTTTTTAACATTTGGTTGGGAGCCGCCCAAAATGGCTGGGGAGACTCAGCCAGATGGGTGGGGTATAAATAATAAATTATTATTATTATTATAGAGATGCCAGGGACTGAGGTTTGCACAGTATGTGCCCGACTGCTGAGATATAGCTTTTCCCAATGGTTTATTTCTGGTTTCAAAGCAATGAGCTGAATCTCAAATATATAGAAAATCCCAGGCTAATAAATGTTGGATTGGAATGCAGCTTGCCCTTGACTCACAAGGAAGGAGACAGTTCTTTGGTTCATACTGTGTGACTCATGTCTGCAGCATTGGCAACATGAGGAATAATGTTACTAAGTACATAAATAAAGACAGTGTCACAGAGTTGTCTTGTCATCTCTTGAACAAAGGAAACAAAGGAAGATCAGACTAAATTATATTCAAGGATTGTTTGGGTTTAAACACAGATAACTTTGAAACACAAAAGAGAACTTGGAAACTTGCGCTGTTATGGATGCTAATGACCTTTTCATGCAGGCTTTCAATTGCACTGTGAGTTTAAGTTTGTTGCTTGGTTGTGGGGACTCAAGATAACCCCCTACCTCAAGAGTAAGTTGTAGGGGAGGTTACATTTTGCTTGCTCTTGAAATGTAGTTATTTGGGGCTGGTTCTAAACTACATATGGGTCAATATCTGTACACAAGACTCTCCTACTGCTGGAAGAGGGGAGTCAAATCCAGCCAATTCCTCCTTCCCCTTGAAACCCTAAGTGCCACACAAACACCCCCACCCCCACAGGCTGATCAGCCTAGTCAAGTGACATTCCAAAATCGAGTTTGGTGCTTGAGGCAGTAGCGAGGAAGAAGAAATGAGTTTAAATTGCCTCATCTAGCAGGAGCGACCAGTGTAGCTCAGTCTCCTCCACAAGCTATAATCTAAGCATTTGGCTTGGGGAAAATTGTTTCTTGTTCAGGAAGTGCTATGGAAAATAAGGTTGTATGTGTATAACAGACACCTATTGGACAATTAATTAACATGACACCATTTGGATCACAAGACCACAGCCACCCACTGACTCATCCCATTTTATGACCTTAACATTTAAAAGTTCAATGGTGGTGGTGGTGGTGATTGTCGTTATTCTATTCAAAGACTGCACTTTTACTTCATTGTAGTGCTTTTCCAACTTTCTGGCTTCTACATCGAGAGGAAACCCTGAGCATCTTTCTAGGGATTCCTTGGGACAGAATCCTTATGTGGGGCCCAATTCACTTCTTATGGCAGCTGAGCCCTTACTGAACTCAGCTGTATTTTGGGGAGCTCCAGACCCCCCTCACCATGGATCCTCTCACACAGCTAGTCTGACTCAGGAGCTGTGTAATGATGTACAGCTACTGCTAGACTTGGACAGGGTGCAGTGCTCATGTACACCAGCTCTAGAGGTTTTCCCCATGAATTTATATTCTCTAAAAGTGATACAGTAAATGGTTCTGGGATGTCAGGCAAAAGCTGATAATAAAAATTCATTGATTGGTCCAACTTGGATTCAGCTGAGTTGCATGGAGGACAGTGTAACCACATAGCATTCAGTTGCCATTTATAGAATTCACAAAGGGTATATATTGTTTGAATGACTGTTCTTTTAGTCAAGAGTTGTTTTAAATGACATCATTAGACAACATTCAGGTGAACAACAGGGTTACAGGAAGTAGCTATTGATCCTGCGGTACAAAGGATATTCACTCACTTTTGGTTACTGGCTCCCTGCTGATCCATTCCCCCTTGCCCTGTGTTTTCTTTCATGGCTTCAAAATATAATTTGCTTTATTTCTCAGCAATGCACATGGATATTGGTTTTCTCTGGCTCCAGACTCAGACAAGTATTGTGCTGTGGGTTTTCACTTTGGATTTACATTTCAAAAAAAGGAAACTCAACTATTTGCTATTGATCTCCTTTGTGGAAATGAAGAATAGGTTTGCTGGTGCCATGTAGGTATTGTAGAGTGTAGGCTGGAGATTATTGTATAAAACATTAACTAGTTAAGTCAGCAGTAAGACAGTGATGATCAATACTAGGTGGCATACTATATTTTTGGTAGTGTTGTTAAACATCTTCATGGTATTTTATTTTGTTTTTATGCATTTCTTTATTTTTATAACCTTTATTTTCTATGTGAGAGCTCAATTCCACCCAGGGGAAGGGGGGAAATAGTTCCAAAAGGAACCTGGAATTTCTTTATCCAGACACATGATGTTCAACTCTTGTCTTTTCATATCACATTGGGTAATATCTTATGTACGTGTCAACTCTCTCTGTGTTTTCCCTCATTAACAATGAAAGGTGGGTGCATGCACCCTTCTCTCTAAATGACTGAGCAGAATATTGGCAGCACACTTTGTCTCCTACTGGGCAAACCCCAGAAAACTGGGTTATAGGACAATCCTGCAGACCCAAATGAAGCAGTTCATTTTCTAGACCTGAATGACTTTGGTATGCTTGACATGATGAGAGGCTATGAGAGGATGACAGAAATGGATCCTGCTTCTGTCTGAATGCAAATGTAATAAACTGGATCTCTGATTTCAAGCTTTGTTTGTTTCAGTTGCTCTGAGAGGATCTCACTGATGTTCTTTCTGGGTTAGACAGGGCTACGAAGAACTGGAAAGACAACTTAAAGAAGTCTTTAAGGAAAGGAGCAACATTCTTCGCCAGCTGTCAAAGACATCCAGAGAACTTGAAGGAATTAAAGTAAACCTCCAGGTACGAATCATCCTCCCCAACTGCCCCGTGATATATAGTCATCATTCACTCCATTTCATAATGCAAGCATTTTGTGATTAATATACTAGGAAAATAGCCATGAAATATCACAGCCAGGTTGTGGGGATTTGGATGAGAGAAATCGACTCTGACCCTTCCATTTTCTATTGCCCTTTTCTTCTTACTATACACGCCTGCCTGGCACCACCACTTCTTCACCACTCAAACATGGCAAATATTTTTCCAAATTTTCCCTATTCATTACCTAAACTCGTCTGCACTGTTACAGCTTCTACAACCTGGTGATGTAGAGAAGAAGGCTGGCCCTTCACTTCCTACATCCATGACAATGGCTTGAGTGATGGAAGATGGGGTATAGAGGTGGTGGACCTAGTTTTGACTAGAGAGAAAGGAGCAGTTCATATCTAACAGAAAATAAAGTAGTTCTTCTACACCCATGAATGTAGAATCTTCATTGATTTTTCATGAATCAATAAAGAAATGGGATGGAGCAGACTTATGAATGAACGTAGGCAAAAATGGCATGGATAAGAAATATATCCACCCATCCCTAGTGGCATTATGTATTTTTATATGTGGATAGGATAAAAATGACCAGCTCCATGAAAGGAAGATTACATGTGAATCTGTCATTGACCTTCACATTAGGCAGTAGTTCCTCTCTGTCATAATTACAGAGGAACATATAGAGATGTTGGGCCAGTGGTGGCTTTTTTTACGACAATTAAGGTGTCAATCAAAAGAAGTGTGGGAATGTTGTGAGGCCTTGCAGCAGACGAACAAAGCTGTTTCCGTTTCCATTTGTTCTTGGCTTTAAAATATGCTATTCACAGAAAGCATTTTATCAAAAGGGGAACCATTAATAATTTTACTATGGAAGAAATGGTAAAGAGCTTCTTGATAAGAAATGGTAAAGAACTTCTTGTTTCTTCCCTTTGTTCTCAGTCTTTGAAAAACGATGAGGCATCTGCTAAAACCGACGTACAGAAACTCTTGGAATTAGGCCAAAAACAAAGGTACAAGTCAACATTTATCTGTCTTACTTTCTTTCCCAGCATCAGGGTCTTTTCCAGGGAGTCTTCTCTTCTCATGAGGTAGCCAAAGTATTAGAGCCTCAGCTTCAGGATCTGTCCTTCCAGTGAGCACTCAGGGCTGATTTCCTTCAGAATGGATTAACTTGATCTTCTTGCAGTCCATGGGACTCTCAAGAGTCTCTTCCAGCACCATAATTCAAAAGCATCAATTCTTTGGCGATCAGCCTTCTTTATGGTCAAGCTCTCACCATAAAGAAGGCTGATTGCCAAAGAATTGATGCTTTTGAATTATGGTGCTGAATACTTTACTTATGGTAAAAGCATGCCTGGCCATACAGAAGCAAAACTGGATCTCCTGAATTTGTCCCTCTCCTATGTAGAAGCATTTATGTCTTCTCTCTTCTGTCTTCATTTTACAAAGCACATCTAAAACCTATGACTGTTTGTATGCATATGAGAATTTCCAGGTGAATTTCTCCATCATGGTATGCTGAAAGCAGCTCTTCCCAGGGGGCATTCTAATTTGGTGTAATGATGTGACAGCATCAGTGCAGATGCTCTGCCATAGTGAGCTGGAACCAAACTTTCAAAAAACAAATAATGTCTTTCCAGATGTTCATAATCTCCAAAATGACTGCAATTTGACCTGAGGGCAGTTTTCCTATCACTACTATGAACAGACAGCATTTGTTGTTTTTTTGTTTTGTTTTTTTCCAAAGCGAAGTTTCATTTCAAACTTGTCATAATCCATCTGAAATGCATGAAGATTGTTTCCATGGGAAACCAGTACAGAGCTTGACTTCATTGTGCTGATTCTCTGAGACAGACAGCATGATACGCGCAGCGTAGCATTTTCGGTGAAGCAGCGCATTTTCTAGATTTTTCTCCTGACACTCTAAGAACACACTGTGGAAACCACTTCTGTGGATAATATAACAATTAATGATTCCACACTCCCTGTTTATGGAAGCACACATTTTTAAGACGCTCGCAATGATAAAATGCCAAGGCATGAAAACTGGCTTGTTATTAATGTGAGGGATGCGCCACATTCATTGTATGTTTGGCTCCCATGGAACATAGATTAAATGACACATCAAAGAATTCCTGCCAGATGCACAACATCTCAGCCCTGAAACATTGTCTTGTGCACCCTGTGATAAATCTTCTAAAACACAGAATAAGAAGGGCTCTCCAATTTACCTATTGAGCTGTCAGGAATCACTGTGCTGACCCTAATTGGCTGTATACACAGTTTCTCCTAGTTTTAATACATGACTTGTCCAATCAAAATGTTGTGTCCCAGACTGGGACCTGTCATTCTTCAACTACATGTCTGTATTAAAGTTATGAGCCGCTGCTTGAGTGGAAACCAACATGCCTTAATCTCCAGTTTATATTCTTGCTCTTTCAATGATCTGGATTGCAAGTTCAGCCCTGCTTCTAGCTGCTATAAAACAGCCTAAATCACTGAAGGTAAGCTGAAACCAAGGATCAGCTCACAGCTCAATTCACATTTATTGGATCTGTATCCATTCATGGTAAATCAGATTTGGCAAACTCAGCACTCACTCCAGGCCTCAATAAATTTATTTATTACTAATACTTGTAGTATTGATATTATTATTTATTGTGTTTATTCACTTCTTACTACAAAAATGTCTCAAAGTGACATGCAGTTATAAAAGTATACATGATGCAAATTTTAAAATGCAATGATAATATTGGCTAAAACCCTTCATCTGCAATAACATAAACAGGACAAATCCTACCCCAAGCTACTAAAAGAACTCTTGTGCAGGCTAGGGCACAACTAGGGTGAACAGAAAAACCTTTGCCAGGTGCCTAAAAGTTGATAGTGATAGAGCCAGGTGAATCATTTGGAGGATAGTATTCCAGAATTGGGGAGCCACCACTAAATTAAAATAAAAGTTCTTGTGTTGCATCATCTGCACTCCCTGCAATGTGCATATTAATAAGGGCCTCAGATTATGAACCCAGGGTCCAGGTAAATTCATGCAGGGAAAGGTGGTCCCTAAACTATTTGGGTCCTGATCCTCATATGGCTTTATAGTTCAACTCCTAATCAACCATCTAGCCAATGAATTCTGTGCCAGCTAAGGTTTCTGAACTGCCTTTAAAGGCAACCCATAGACTGTATAGCACATTGCAGCAATTTAATTTGAAGGTTACCAGTGCATAGATAATAGAAACTACACTATTCCTGTCCATATAGGGCCACAGCTTGTGCCTCCAGTGACAGTAGTAGATTCAGAAGTACTCCCAAACTACTGCTCATTTAGGAGAGTGCAGCTGTCCACCTATCTCAGGGGTCAGCAAACTTTTTCAGCAAGGGGCCGGTCCACTGTCCCTCAGAACTTGTGGGGGGCCGGACTATGTTTTTTTGGAAAATAATGAACAAATTCCTGTACCCCACAAAGAACCCGGAGATGCATTTTAAATAAAAGGGCACATTCTACTCATGTAAAAACATGCTGATTCACAGACCATCCACGTGCCGGATTTAGAAGGCGATTGGGCCGAATCCAGCCACCGGGCCTTAGTTTGCCTACGCATGCCCTATCTGGTCTAGGGAATCACCCCCTAACAATCCTTTAATTTTATCTGGATTGTGCTTCATGCTTCGTCACCTAAACTACAGTCAGTGCACTTCTGTGCATGTTTAATCAGAAATAAGTCCCACTGAGTTCAATGAAGCTTATTCCCAAATTGGGATGAGCAACACATTCAATTCAGTTCACATTCCAAGATCAACCTACCTAATTAATACTTTCTAAAAAACCAAAGTAAAATACACAAATGGAAACACAGCAATTTGTAGAGCTCTGAATTTTCCAATACAGTTCTCCAATTAAGCAATATGTACAAAAAAGCATATGGTAGGATAAAGTCTGCATTAAAATGCATATACTGTATTGATGAAAATAACATACATAAATGCATTATATTAGGGGAAATTGCTTACAAAAACATGTATACCAGGAGAAATTTCACACAAAAGATGTTGATGAATTTCATGAAGATGTTTTTAAAAACAACTGAGGCAGAGAAATGAAGATAGGAAAAATGAGGAACTAAAATTATCAGATATGCTCATCCCTATTTCCAAGTAAGCATAGAACTAGTCTGGGGTGTTTCTTAAAATCTGTCAGTTCACTCGATCTCAAATACTGCTGGTGTCTACATGAACAAAGACCTACACGTAGCAGCAACTGTATTCTGTGTAATTAATCAGGACAAAACAGAGGCAGATAAAAGGACCAGATTCACCCCGCCCATCGTCAGCGTGGTTTTATATCTCACATAACATGTTCATTCTCCCTGTCCTGAAGATTTATCTCTTTGGATCTTGCTATGTCTGATCCTCAGAACAGCTGTCAGAAAGTGCCACTACGAAGGTGTCGTTCACTTTGAGGAAACTTATCTGTCTGGGAACTGGATCTGGACCAACGAGGCCAAAATTAGGTCTTCTGTTTAAGATGCCTATGTTCAGCTGAAGTTCAGTTGCTACCTGAAGATAATGGGAAAAGATGGGTCTCCCTAAGAGTTTGCAACTGCATCTTTTCCTACTCATCCCTTCTAAACAATTGCTGAGGGGGAGGTGATGGAGATCTAAGTATAAACAATTTGCTTTGAAAATGAGAGTTAGTGAATTAGAATATGAAGAATGCTTAAACAATATTTTGCACAGTATTCTATACAGTAGACACAAAAGAGTTTTCATTTTGGAACTTCACTGGAGTGCACTGGGCATCTGTGGCTTTATTAATAAGCCACCCCAACAAAGCACAACCAGTGGTTATTCAGTGTAATTAAAAGTGCCTTGTCATGAAAAGAGAGTAAACAAAAGCATTCTTTCCTCGTGTACAATAGAGATGAAGTTTGTGTTTTGTCTCTTCGATAAACTAGGGAAGAAATGAAATCGCTCCAGGAGGCCTTTCAAAAACAGCTTAATGAGGCAGCGGAGAAGGCAGAAAAGCAGCAGGCTACAGTGAGTAACTTCTCTTCTTTCTTTGTTATTATTTTCTCCAACCTTTCCATGCCCCTCTCTTCTGTAAATGCTTCAATAGCTCAAATATGTCTGCATGAACAAGGCTGTTGGTATATACTGAATATACTATAGAAGGCTCTTTGTGGAAGCAAATAATCTCATAGAATTCACTACTGATAAATATATGAAGGTTATCTTGCTATCACTGTACTAACTATTGTTTCATGGTGGTTTAAGAAGGGACTTTCCAACCTGTTGTTCCTAATCTATCAGGGACTAACACAAATAAAGATGGAGAAGAGTTACAATCTTGAACGACATAGGTATGATCCAATTCAATTTTCAATGGAAGGGATACAATGAATCTATTTTGGGCATACCCCTAAAGATCCCCATATCTGAAGTTTGAAAGAATTGTGACCGTCTCCCAAACTTGAGTAACTAGTGTGTTGCTAAGCTCACTTCTGTCCCTTGGTTCTTAATGTGTGCACCTGTAACCTGAGGTTCTGTTCACACAGGCTTTCTGGTTAAATGTGCAGTGAATAGCTGGTTCTGCTTTGCTTCAGTGGGTTGGACTAGGTGGCCATTTTGATATTTTCAAATATATTATGTGCTCTGTGAAGTTTGGTTCTTGACATCATCCCACTCTCCTGCTTCAACCTCTGCTTCTTATTCTGGACTTCTCTCTGCCATAGATTCTTCCAGCTCACTAAGCCCTGTTTCCACTTCAGCTTTGGACACTTCCTCCTCCTAGTCTTCTCCCTCTGATGACTAATCATTGTCCCACCACCAATCCCTGGGCTCTGAGTCTTCTTCCCTTGGGGGTTCCCCAGTTGGTTTCTCCCACCATTCTTCTGATTCCAAGCTAGTCCCTGATAGTTCCATGTACATGTACAAAATCCATGTACAAGTAATGTGTCTACAGAAGGCCTCTTAAATCAAAACAGTGCAACTTTGATTAAATTCATTGGTACCATTCCTGATCATAGGCCTGGCCTATTGATGAAGCAGGGTGAGACACTCGCCTTGAGTGGTGGAAGCCCAAGAGGTGATACCCACCTCACTGTCGTGGGTGCTCCCCAGCCAAAGGAATGCATTTGGCATATAGCTAACTCTTTATTGTCAAAAGTGGACACTTACCATTTCTTCTACAGCTTTGAATGCCCATGTACACCAGTCTAGCATCCAGGCAGCTATTTCCAGGTCTATGCTCTATGAAGAAGTTGCTGCAGTAGGTGGCCACTCCTCCTCCACCAGTTTATGTACCTCCTCCTGACAG